AAACATTCACATCTAGCTCCAACATACAAGAGTTCTTTCTCACATCCTGGACATTTCACAGATGCATAAACCCCATTTTCCTAGTTGCCAACAGACCTCACAAGCTCCAGGAGAGAATGCTTCTGGAACATGGCCATATAGTCCGAAAAACTTACAACAACCCAGTGATTCCAGCCATGAAAGCCTTTGACAACATATGGATTGCTTTATGTTTCTATTTATGTATTGGATCTGGCATTGAATGATTGCCATATTTTGTTGTAATCTGCCATGAGTCCCCTTGGGGAGAGAGGGCGGAATACAAATGAAGTATTGTTATTATTATTTATTCATTTCTACCTTAGGAAATCGATGGAAAATCTTTACTGTTGATGACAAGGAACGATGTGTTGACTGGACTTTCATTAAAACTTGGACCTGCACTGAAGATCTATGAATATCACGTCAAGCCTCTACAGTCACAGCATCTCAAGAGCAGTTCTCTATAATGGATTATCCTGCTGGGCCCATGTTGTGTCTCTATTGTTCAAAATAAATAAGCAACATTGGTTTCCTATTCATGGACCTTTGTCAAAAGACATTATATGTGTATAAAGAATTTAAGCCAAATAGCACTGATAAAAGTATATTTGTGTATATCCTATTGGATAGCTTTAGCAATATGCTGTATGGTGGCAATCGAGCTGATGGAGAAGTGGAATTTCATATTGTTCAGGTACATGACCAGCTAAATATTATTTTCTAGAGATGACTATATTAAAAAAGAAAGGTAAGTATAAAAGGAGAGTAATACTACTTAATATGAAAGCTAAGCAGAAGCACTGTTTTTGTTTGCTTATATTTTAAAATACTGTTTTAACTTAAATATGCTAGCCACTTTCCAATTCTATTTCATGTTAATTTGAAAAGAGGTTTTGTGTTTGGATCATCAAAAAGAGCTACTAATGTGACTCACCTTTAGTAATATGAGCAAGATAATTTGAGTTGGCAAAACAAAAACAAAAAAAATAGCCCACCAGTCCCTTTTGCAGAACAGGCCTATTTTTGATTTTATTAAGATTTGTTCACAGCATGTTGAAATGTTTTAAACAGGTTCGGGTTGAGTAAGTTAGCATCTTTTGACAGCAGAAGATGCTACATTCAGAGGTTATGGGAACCTCACAGTTCTTTCTAGATGTTCTTTGGATTTTAAAGGGTCTTTTGTGGGAGATTGGTTTTTGACTGTTTGCATTGCTTTGTGAGAAAGTTTGTTTTGTTCTTATTCTAATTTATAACTTATTTGCTAACAGTTTTGCTGAAAAGTGAAAAAAGATTGTAAATCTCAACATATTTTTTAAAATGTGTTTTGTGGCGCTGTAACAAATTATTTTGCTATGTGACTTGATTCATGAGCCGAACACATGTTTCTGAAAAGCTAAAGAATGCTCTTTTATGACTGTGAATCTCTGTGGAAGGAAGAGTCTAGTTCAATCTGTTTTGACCAGTTCCTCTTCTTTTAATTGAAGATTTGTTCTGTCAACAAAGATGTTGATGTGTTTCCATTCAATTTGGTTTTGCGCTTTTTTATTGGGGAAGTTTTGTCTCTTATTTTTTGCTTTTTACACCAGTATGCCAATATATAACAAAAAGCACCTTAAAACAATCGACAGTCCATCAATTCTTCTCAAAAACTAAAATTAGGCAGGTAAGAAATGTTCCATTTTCTCTGTATCCATGTTGGAGAGAGCTTCCATTTTATAGAAATTTATTTTGGGATTCATACCACTCAGGCCCCTTCTACACTGCCATATAAAATCCAGATTATCTGCTTTGAACTGGATTATATGGCAGTATAGACTAATATAATCTAGTTCAAAGCAGATAATCTGGATTTTATATGGCAGTGTAAAATCAGCTTGCTATTAAGGAAACAGGTGCTCTGCCTAAAATGGTGTCACCCCTATATCTTGATCAACCCATGGTTTTCTCAACAGAGGATAACCAAAATGTTTGTTATTATGGGTTTTCATTTTATTAGAATCATGGCTAAAAGGGCAATGGATGGTTTAACTACTTACTATGTGTGAGTGGTGGTCATTGGGCTTCCTCACGGATTTAGTATGGACATTTGCCTTTGGCTTGTTCAGTTGGTTCGGAAGCCCGTAACGTCATAGGATCTACTGCCATTTTTTCCCTGCTGGCTGTTGAAAACTGGCTGGTTTGGATTACACATGCAGTGCAGGGAGGAAGGCAGCCACTAGAAGGAAAGGGGCAAGGGGGGAAAGGCACCACTCCAGCGCCTCCAAATCAAGAGGGAAGAGGGGGCTTTTTAAAGGAAGCCCAGGTCGATCCCTCTTCCTTCCCTGGGAAGTGGGAAGCCTCCTTAAAATGCCTTAGAAAACTGCCTGCTGCAGGGCGAGAGCACACGTGCCTGCAGCTCCTGTCTCCTCTAGAGTAGAAACAGATTTAATGAAGCATTAAACCCAAAGTAGAAAGTGGGGGAGGGGGAAGCACCACTCTTGTGCCTCCAAATCAAGAGAGAAGAGAGGGCTTTTCAAAGGAAGCCCAGGGTAGGATAGCTCTATGTCGATTCTTCTTCCTTCTCTGGGAAGTGGGAAGCCGCCTTAAAATGCCTTGGAAAACTGACTTCTGCAGAGAGAGAGTGCACACACCTGCCGCTCCTGTCTCTTCTAGAGTAAAAACAGTGTTACCAAAGCATTAAACCTGGTCTCATCAATAGACAGAAGGGAAAGGATCACAGAAAGAGTGGTATCTTATGCTTTTAATCCAGGTTTTAATGAAGGATATAAGGACAAACAATACCTAAAATGATGGGAAGGGGAGCCTGGGGGAAGTCCTCCCCATTGCCACCAATGAGCCGGATAGAAAATGAATCTTTCTTCTTCCCAGAATGAAAATGGATTTCTGTCCTCGCAAATTTGGGAGGCTCCCAAAAAAAATAGATTGAAACCCCCACCAAAATCCAAGACATTGAAACAGATTGCGATTTACATGGATTGCATAAACCTAGTGGTAATACTCTCTATACTCTTTTATCAATTTGAGGCCTGTGCCCTTCAAATGACAACAACTGTCCAGAGACTCAAGCAGCCATGCTATCTGGAATAACAGGACACCAAGGATTCAGTCAGAATCTTTGTAAATGAAAACTACTCTGGCAGTGATGCACAGAATTGATATCCTGCATCAAATCCTTAATCATGCTTTTGTAGCATGCTTTTTCTCCCAATCTGACTCCCAAATCACCTTAACATCCAGCTAGACCAGTCCTGCACAACTCTGCAGTGGTAAGGGGCCAATATGCCACAGTTGGTAAGTGTTTTAGAGAAAATCTTGGGGCTTTCTGTGGCACTGGCTATCTAATACTATTCATGGGACAAACTATAAAGTACAGTAGAATCTCATTTATCCAACATAAATGGGCCGGCAGAATGTTGGATAAGCGAAAATGTAGGATAATAAGGAGGGATTAAGGAAAAGCCTATTAAGTGTCAAATTACATTATTATTTTACAAATCAAGCACCAAAACATCATATTTGAAAACAAATGGACAGAAAAAGCAGTTCAATACATGGTAACATAATGTAGTAATTACTGTATTTATGAATTTAGCACCGAAACATCGCAGTGTATTGAAACAGCTGTGGATCCAGGCGGGAGGCAGATTGTGTTGGATAATACAGAATGTTGGATGAGCGAAGGTTGGATAAGCGAGATTCTACTGTGCTATATTAAGAAATCTATCTTCTCATATGGCCTGCTGAGCCTTCCAGAGATGCTTCTGCCTAACCATAAGACATGAGATGCTCAGGAGAGCACCTAGGACTATATTGGATATTGTGCCCAAGAGCAGTTGCAGCTCTAAAAATAGAGGAATCCTGAGTACAAATGCCACCTCTTTAGCAAATAAGTTGTATAGTGGGCATGAAACTGCCTTCTAATAATCAGTGGTCCCAAGAAGTTCAATGAGGACAGTATCAGATAACAGCATTAGCATTTTCATCAGTGATATTAAATCACATCATTTTTAAAAATACATCACTTCACGCAACTGAGGAAGTAGACTTAGCCTATGAAAGCTTATGCTACCAACTTCATTCTCTGTCACTAAAGGGTTTCCAGCATCCCTTTGTACACCATATCAGGCTGAATTCTCACTGAATTCTTTTGTTTCAGTTAAAACCATGTATCTTTTCGTGTGGCTTTTCCTATAAGAACATGGGGTCTTGGCCAGTCTACACTATTGGTTCCCAACATTTGATCCTCCGGGTGTTTTGGACTTCAACTCCCAGAAATCCCAGCCAGCTTACCAGCTGTTAGGAATTGTGGCAAAATGAGGATTACCAATATATACGCATGTATCTGGGTGATAGAGGCAGATCATCACAAATCCATCCCTTGGTGTAGATCACTGGTTCCCAATCTTTGGTCCTCTGGGTGTTTTGGACTTTGAGCTCTTTTGAAGGATGTAGCAATATAATAGGAAAATTAATAGTGTTTGTGATCTTCCTGAAGATTACATAAACAATTCTACTTTGTTTTGCACCATTTAAGGGGACTTATGCAAGGATTTTGGCTGAAGACTGCTGACATTTCAAATCTAGTCCTTGAATGCTCAATGCTCCTATCTGAAATAAAGCATCTACTTGTGTTTTATCATGTTTATGACTAGTTCAGGATATAAACTTAAATTTTGTCTGTTGTTTTCATCTTTTCAAGAGGAAGACTCAAATATACCAATCCATAATAATGTACATAAGATATATTTATATTTTGACCCATGATATCTTCATATTTAATTCAATGACAGATTCAAATTGTTTTGTCTTTGCTCTTTATTCACCCCAAAAGATACATAGAAAGCTCACCACACAAGTCATACTAAAGAAATAGGAAATCTACAATCCTTCTAACAAGTACCTTTCTGGTTGGAGCATAGGATGAAATAAACAGGTCAAATTATTTGGGGTCCTTTCACATTGTATAATTATAGCACTGATTTCATTGTAGATGCCATAGTTGCTTACTATGGTATCCCAGGATTTGCGATTTGGCAAGGCACTAGGGCTCTCTGACTGAGAATGCTAAACATCCCTCCTAAAATTGCCAATCTCAGGATTCCTTAGGATATTGCCAGGTTAGGTAAAATGTAATCATAGCACTATAATTGTGTAGTGTGTAGCTCTTGATCAACTTCTGATAGTACCTCCAAAATCAATGCCACTTGGTCTAGCATTTGATGGAGAGGGAAAAAGTTGAATATTTTCATGTTAATAATCCCCTCTCAATATGGTGTCCTCCAGATATCTTGAACTACAACTCCCATCAAGCCTGTTAGCATAGCCAAATTCCAAAAATGGGTAATATAGCAGATGAGAGAAGGATGCATACAGATGTGTTTTTGCTTAAACAAAATGTTTTGCAGTTGCAAACCAACCAAGGTTTTTAAAAGTCTCCTTTATTGAAAAAGTAGGAATTTCACTGCAAATGTGAGAAATATCTAGAGGGCATAATTCACAAGAATGAAAAGTTAATTGTTGGAGAGAATACTACGATTTATTTTGTCTTTGCGTGAACTGGACCCCAAACAATAGCTAACTTGAAATAAAAAGCTTAAATGGAATTATGCCTTGTGCTTAATAATAAATAAGGGAAAAGCACCCCCAAACCAAGATAAGTTGGGTTCCTGTGAATTTTCCAGGTTGTATGGCCATGTTCCAGAAGCATTCTTTCCTGATGTTTCACCCACATCCATTGCAGTAATCCTCAGAGAGGTTGTGAGGTTTGCCATAGATGTGGGTGAAACTTCAGGAGATAATGCTTCTGGAATATAGCCATACAGACCAGAAAACTCACAGCAACCCAGTGATTCCGGCCGTGAAAGCCTTCAACAACAAGATGAGTTGTTTTTTTCATTGGAAAATCGCTTTCTTCCATTTCAAATCTGATGATAGAAGCTATTATTGCTGTCTGGAGGAAACTGAAATCCTTTCTCCAACCAGTTATGTTACCGAGATTAAAATTTGTATTGAGAAGCTACTAGAAATTCTTTTGGCAAGCAGATTGAACAAGCTGGGTTAGTCATATAAACAGTCCTTGGAAAGAACAAGAGTCAAGACAGGGACACTCAGAGATGGGGAAAATAGTACATTATCTAGCAGCCACATAGAAAATCTCTCTTAGCATCCCTTAGACTAGTTGCCATATGTGTGAGTGTGTATATACATGCATACATATATACATACGTACTTATTCATTCACGCACACATAGTCAAAGTGGTATCAACAGATTGTCGGTTTATGGAAAAACCACTGAAATTTGATCAGGAAGTGGGATTGAAAACCAGGTTGTTATTACTGAATCCTATTAATTGCACTTGTTTGGCAAATGATTTAAGATCCCACAACAAAGAAATGGTTGCATTTGTAGGTTACCCTTTGAAACGCTGTATAAGTAAATGATGAGGACAAAAGTACATTTTTGTTGTCTTGGAGTATGCCTATCCAAACTGAAACCAGAGTTTTAAAAGTTATGATTGGAAAGTAACACCCAACTAAGATGGTGGAAGTTGTGATCCCCAAAAAGTAACTTTTGTGACTGAGGTATATGACTGGCTTGAGAAACAGGGGGGAAAGCCTTGATCAAGTTTGTACCATAAATGCAATTCTTAGTTATTATCTCAATTTTAAATGTTTGAAATTGCCCATGGTGATACACACACCTTTTTTAGTCTACTTGCTTAGCATCAGACATTTTAAAGTAAAGGAACATTTTGAAAAGTCTGAGGCTTATTAAAGAAAATCTACTTAAACTATGAAGGTAACTACAGCATGATGATTATATAAGCAGATAAAGTTGTTTGTCTACCCACACATGCCCTAGAGGTCTGTATATCGGAGGTGCAAAATTCAGGAGTAGTGTAATCATGTTATATAAATGTCTATTAGTCAACACGGACATGGTTGTTGATACAACCCAATTTCACCATATTTGCGGAACACAATGCAAATGGTTCCTTTGCCTCAATTAGCAGTTGTAGAGTGATTGGGGATCCTTCCACACAGCCCTATATCCCAGAACATCGGCAGAAAATCCCACATTATCTGAGTGTGGACTTGGATAATCCAGTTTAAAGCAGATATTTTGGGATTTTCTGCCTTGATATTCTGGAATATAGGGCTGTGTGGAAGGGCCCTGAACATATAGGCAGGATAGAAAGGCAATGGACGGTGGGGATTCAGTTCCCCAGCTAATGGAACTAATTGTAATATATTTTGGGCACATCCAGTTTGATTAAAATGACCAGAAAATCCCACATTTTATTCCCATTCTTCCAATTTTATTTGGGATAACTATACAGATTTTGTTTATCCCAGAATATTATTTTTCCCAGCTCATGATAAAATTGGAGATTGTTTTTAATTCCAGCTCCCCAGCTCAGTTTATTTTGTTGTTGTTTTGTGTCTTCAAGTCATTTCTGACTTATGGCAACCCTGATGTGGATTTCTCTTGGTAATTTGGTCAGAAAGAATCACTAAAATTGGAAAGAACAGGAACAAAACCTGGAACTTTTCATTCTGTCTGGATGCACTCTTTATTGGAAGACAAGGAATTAGGCTTGAAAGTTTTCATAGAACTTCTTAATATAAATAATAAGAATCTTTTAGTAGTTTTTGCTTACAAAGGGGGAGGGGATCCAGGAGGCTTCAGGTGTGAAAAATCCCCATGAAACATATAACAACAAATTCATATATGAAGCCTGCTAAAATATTTAGGTGGATCCAGATATAGCCTTGCTGTAAAAAGACTACTGGAATCAATAGAACTGAAAGGAGTCACATTTAGCCAACTGAAATCCCACCACTTTCAATGGCACATGCCCAGCTTGTAATGTGTACTAGTGAGCTGCACTGAACATTTCTTATTTGTATTTTGAAAAGAAATAAAAGGAAATGCACTGTGATGTTAGCATATGGCTTTTTTAGGCTACCTTTGAAAACATCATTCATATCTACACATTGAGCATTATGGGGACAAAGCATGGAGTAAATAATGCATGCTGATATGAGATAATTAAAGTAGTTGACTGCTTAATTCGTTTTCTGGACAGGCTTCCATCCAGCAGAGCAATGGGTTTTGCTCTCTACGACAGTATCGCACTCTTCTTCTGGGCCCTTCTTCCTACGCAGTGTTGATGCACAAGCCCCAAAGGGTGTGTCCTGAGGTGTAAAGATCTGTACAAGAAAGAACATATGTAAGTGATTGATCGGGCATCAGAGTGCACCTGATTAAATGCAAACCTACCTAGGCTTCTTTGCACACAACTACACTACAGATCTACATTAATTTCACATTTAGATTATGGCTCAAATCCTGCATTATCAGGATTGTAGTGATGTTTGATAACCCCTGCAAAAACCCACACTGCTTGAATCCTGTATGAAAGTCTTGCGCATGTATGTATCAAAATTGCAGTGCTACAAAGCAAATTCGGTCCCAACTTCTCAGGCTGGATCTACATGGCCCTATAATCCAGTTTCAAAATGTGGATTAACTGCATTAATCTGGGTTATATGGCAGTGTAGACTGATATAATCCAGTATAATGCAGTTACTCCACATTCTGAAACTGGATTATAGGGCAGTGTAAATCCAGCCTCAATCCCCACTAACTGGAAGCAGCTGATGCAATCGGTGGTGGTCTGTTCTCTTATTGATCATGAGCCAGCCGGCTGCCACTTCCATTCCCTCCTGAGAGTGATCTCTGGTGCAACAGGAAATAGCAAGATGCCTGTTGCTTATGTGAGAGAGGAGGGACTGTCCTCAATATAATTGCTGATCAACAGGGGAACCGATTCCCATTATTTGTGCTGGCTACTGCCTGATTAAATGAAGATTAGGGAAACTTCATGATCCCTATGTATTTCCTAAAGCAGTGAATATATAGGAATTGTGTATATGGACCTCTCGTGAATGTGTAACTCTAGATTACACCTTTCTAATGATCATAATTTCTTATTTTCATGCATCCTGCAAATGGGAGAGCACTACAGATGTCATTTCTTTCCAACATCCTCTGCAGCACATCATAAATCCTTCACTTAGGATATTAATGGCCTGGAATGGTAGGTCTTTAGGGTCATACTTGGTTGTTAAAGACTGTAAATGTAAATCCCCATCAGTTATGGGTCCAGTTTAAAATCTTATTACTACTGAAAGGATACCAGCTATTTTCCCAAGAAACCTTAGCAATTAATAATATGAGAAGTGCTAGAAAGTTCAACTTGAAATGATCATGGCCACCTCAAATCACCATTTCCATGATTGTCTTTGCATCATAGCTGTTGAAGTGGTATTTTTCCAATTATTTATTTGTTCAAAGCTTTATATCCTATCTTATCTCATAAGATAATGGTGTAAGATAAAAGTGATCGAAACAATTGAGAATTATTTGAAATAGTAAAGAATCATTTATAACAGTATAAATATTAATATTAATATATTTTATTTATTTATTTATTTCCAATATTTATACCCCGTCCCTCTCAACCCCCGAGGGGGGACTTAGGGCGGCTTACAACGGCAGCAATTCAATACTGACAATATATAAAAATACATTACATACAACATTATACGATAAATAAAACATGTCAAAAATCAATTTTTAAAACATTATTATTCCATGTTGTCTTGAGACCAGAAGTTGTTCCATATTTCTGATTATTTATTTATTTATTTATTTATTTATTTTGGAATACTTGCATTTATATCATGAAATATCTTGAAGGTGGGACCCAAGTCTAAACAAAATGCATTTATATTTGATATAAATATTTCACCTTATACACATAGCCCGAAGGAAATTTTATACACAATATTTTTAATAATTTGGGGTTTTGGATTCTTTTGGTTTTTGCAATTTTAGATAAGCGCTGCTCAACCTGTATGTTGAAATATAGTTCTATATCACAATACATTCTTCCTTTTGGGTAAAATAAAGATGTATTTCCTCACCTCCTTGTCATTGCACAACCCCAGCTTTTCAAGAGGTGTCAGTGAATAGTGGATGTTGGAACAGATCACTTCCACTTCTTCTACCTGAAAGTACAAAAAGCATGGGGCATTATGAGTTCTTAAGCATTCGATAACCTAAAACAGTCAGAAAACATTTAGACTTCCTTCCTAGTTTGTATATGTGAGATAGTTGAAATCAGCAAATTGTTTTCCCAACAATCTTGAAAGTGGTGTTCCAAGAGTAGAATTTTTCTCAGAGTTAGAATTTTGCATAATTCCAATTGCTAAATCTATTGAATCAACAGGAAATTGGTAAGTAGCAATTTCTGTTGACTGTGTTTAGTCAATGGAAATTAGCTGTTGGATTGATATCTTCTTTTGCCACATCTTCCCTTTCCACTTCAGTTTCCAACAGAGGTCAATATATATATGTAAGATATCACATTTTGAGATATAGTCAGGAATATGTATTGGCTGAATTCCTGTAGCACTGGTACTAATACACTCAGTATAATAGTTTGTGTATTGAGTATTTGAGTTGGACTAGAATTCTAACCACCTCATCTGATGGGATGATTTTAGCATCCTAGGATGCTTCCACCATGTCTAGAGGACTGATGGGCTCGCTGCCCATCAGACAACACAAGGGAGCTTCCTGTGGAAGCCCTCCCCCCAACCAAGGTAAAAGTGTCACCAAATGCTTCCCTGACAACACGGGAGTCAGCATGGGGCCTCCTCCCAATGGCAACGCTTTCCTCATGTGATGGGGAAAGCATTATGAGAGGGAGCTATGCATGGGGTGACAAATTCGCTCCGCTGCTCCCTCTTTCCTACTCAGAAGCCTGGCAAAGTGAGACACTTCACCAGGACTTTATGATGAGGTTGTGACAGATCAAGGCTCAGATCCTCATTTGGCCATGGAAACCTACTGAGTGTCTGTAACAGGTTGCATTTAGGGAGAAAACCACCCAAGCAGAGGATCCTGAGAAGAGCCTGGAAGAGTAAAATGGGTTGAAGAGGGTTAATAGAGAACAAGGTGGAAGCTCAAAGGGGTTGTAGAAGAGAGGGTGGAGTTGGAGAGCAGACAGGGAGGAAGGTGGGAGAATGGAGAAGGTAGGTTGAAAGGACAGACAAGAGAACTTGTTGAAAGAGAGACTGCTGAAGGAGGAGTTAACTAAAATGTATTCAATTTTGTACCTTTGGACTTATTTTGGCAATAGATAAGTAACAGTTGTAATGTAAATAACAACTGGCCTGAAACAGAAGGCTTTGGATGAGTAATTAGCCTGGCTTGGACCAAACACTAGCCTATTTCGTGACTTACAGTTTCATAATTTCATTGTGCTACATAGCAGCCAAATAAAGACTTGTGTTTTCTTGTGGATTTTGTGCCTCCTGAGCATGCAGGCTGTTGGTTTTAAGGCTTCCCTTACTATAGAGGAGAGCAATCAGTGTCTTTAAGCAAATCACACCCAGTCTCAATGGAAGACAATAAGACTCTGAATTAATCTTACCAAGAAGAAACCTTGTACATGTGCTATAGGTTCAACATAAGGTAGAAATTGCACGCACACACGAACAATAGAAAAAAACATATGCATTCCACACTGAAAACCCCACTTTCTGCCATTTTCAATTATTCTCGATTAGAATTAGCAAGGGAAGAAAAGGTTCCCTTTAAGTAGATTGGAGCAAATACCAATCAGGATATATAGCATCAGTCTAGGGGTTTGACTGTAGGCAATGTTATCTCCGTACACATAGCAATTCAGCAAAAATATAAAGATACTGACCTGTGGGATTTTTTCCAGGATGTATTCCTGAACACAGTTGACCGTCTTCTGGTAAGAAGGGGAGTAATGGCCTGTTTCAGGTGGTCCAGCAAAGGCATCAAGGGCACTTTCATGTGCAGTTCTCCTTCAAATAAAGAGTAATAATTAGATTTAATCTGTACAATAGTTGGCATTTTGCCTCGAAACTCCACATCTTTATGTTTTCTATAAAAGAAAACATCAGTAAAATACTTTGAGAATTCGGAGTGTAACTAATCAGGTAAGTGATATTTCATAAGTATGATGGGAAGGCTTTTCACAGGGTCACATTAGACCTGGTGCAGAAGAAGGAAACAGTGGCTAGATATAATTGTGTGATGAGCAGGTTGAGGTTGGTCAAACCTTTGGAAATGATCAGAGACACTTCCAAGAGTAAGATGTAAGCATGGGATATTATGTACACACAATTACTAGTTCCAGGTAAAGTTCAGCCATTAAAACCATTTTTGAATAGGAAGCCAATTTGGAGTCAAATGCTGATTTAATTGTTCTACTCTTGTTGGGATTAGAAATTGGATTTATTAGCCTTCCCGACCTACATGACAATTGCCAGGGATTATGGAAATTGAGGTCCAAAGCATTTGAGAACCAAAGGGAGGGGAGATATTGGATGCAGTTGCACCTAGCAAAATTCTTGGGAGTAGTGTGTTTTGGAGCTGCCCTGGATGTAGCACAAGAACTCCTCACATGCTGGTTTGGAAGTATCCTGAAGCCCTTTTACAATCCACACTGTGGCCAAGCAGACAGTCCATCAGCACCAGTGCTCTATCTTCCAGAGGGCTGCCGCCACTGACACTATTTCAGCTGCCAGAAGCAGATCCCTAGCATAGACTTGCCGACAACGTAACTACTGGTGAAGTGAAACAAGGTGCCCAACCAAGTGTTCGTGAGAAGTAATGCTGCTTTCAAGCTCTGCCATGGAGTTGCTTTTGGTTGGTGAAACAGCAGTGGGTCTCTTTGAAGTTGGATCAGATCCAACTCAATCCAGCCATCCACAAGTCAAAAGCACCGTGGCTCACTCCAGAACTTTCTGGAAGCTCCAGAGTAATTTGTGGTTCTTCTTCTGACAGGTTAAGGACTGGAAGTAGTTCTCCTGTCCTGGAACTAGACATTGTCTAGACTGTGCAAAGTGAGTTCAAGGTGACTATGATTTAGTTGGTTGGTGTAAACATGAAAACTGTGATTTCTAAACAAGTATTCTGGTAAAGCCTCCCTTAGAAAAAGATCTCAGATAAAACCTTTTTCTTATTCTCTCATTCATTGTGTTTTCACTTTTCTGGTTATCAGGCATCTCCCTCATTGTGGATACGTTTCACAGATAATTAAATTAAAAAGGTCCCAAGCAGAAGGTTTTTATCATACCATATACAATCATAGTCAAGGCCATCTGGGCACACACCATAACACCACTTTATCAACATTTCCACTGAGAGAATTCTATCTCTCCTTTCCGGAAGAGTGGTGTATTTATCCTTGTAGAAGCCTTGAAATCCAGATTGGGTTGTTTTCATAATTTTCAGATCTTTGATGCCAGAGAAAACAATTGGTGCCCCTGCAATTTGAGAGAGAGAGAGAGAGAGAGAGAGAGAGAGAGAGAGAGAGAGAGAGATCATATACTGGAGATAATATTCAGTTTTTTTTCTTCCCCAAATGAATAACTTAGAGAGCTTTGGCAACTGCAAGATGTAATGTATTGCCATCAACTCTTTTGAATGGAGATATTAAAAAGCTGAACATTCCGAAAGAGTTTCTTTTTGTCATTTGGTCTCTGTTGAAACATTTCACCATTCTTTGCTTGTTTGCCTCAAATATGATAATACAGATGAAATACAGGAATTCCATTTTTATTTCACAGTGTTCACAATGGCAAGGGTGTTATAAAATTCTCTATCTTCCTAATAACTCTGATGCCTTCCTTTGTGAGACTGTTACAAATTTTATCCTTAAGATTAGTAACTTTAAGTATATTTTCTTTTTACCTGTGACTTCCTCCTGTTGTATGTAGCTGTGTTGTAATTGTATTGTTGTATAAAGGCTGTGTATGTGTGTGTGTGTGTGAAAAAGATAATACTGAAATAAATGAATAAAAATATTTCTCTTACCATCCACAGACTGTTCTACTTCGCAAAATCGAACTCCTTCAGAGCTATACAGAAAAGCATGTACATGTGGGGTACCATCCTAGAGAGTGAATGAGATTCAGCATATGAAAATATAACTGGAGCAGAAATATTAAAACAAAAGACAAAGTAACAGAGAAATCAAACAAATGTACTAAGTTTCCCAATGAAACTAATGGGATATAGTTCATGAAAACTTATGCCAAATAAAAGTAATTAACTTTTAAGGTACTAAAAATATCTGATATTTTGGCAACAACAAATGTGAAAGGAGATTACCCTAGAGATAAACATTAAGGATGATCTAGAACCCCACAACATCCTGCCATGCCCCCTTATAAATGCCCCCCGACTGCCCCCTTCCCATCTTCTTGTTGGCTTTCCACTTGAGTGTAGGAGCTGCAGATAATGCAGACAATCAAAAGTATGACCTAAATGTTAAGATCCATTTTACCTTTTCTAGACGCTGCCATGGCACCTCTTGGATGAAGGCATTGCAATACACGACATGGCAAAATGAGGTAAGAAAGTGATCACAAATATCAAGTCCAAACTGTTCTATTGTGTTGACCTAGTAAGATAAACATTATATTAGGGATTATCTGCTTCTTTCTTGTAAAAACACTATTAAATGGTACAGTATCTCATTTTTTACAAATGTATTGATGTGCTGAAAATTTAAATCCAACTAAATCTAAAAAAATCTAGAAGAATACAACACAATCTTTAAAAACACCTGCTAAAATGCTATACATTTTTTAAAAATAGCTGGAGAGGAAGATATATGGCGTAAAGTGCTAAAATATTTGGACATTGGTTTTAAAAAAGTTTTTACTCATCTAAAACAATGTTTCTATTTTGTTTTGGAGGTACATTGACTTGGGGCCCTTGATCAATATAGGCTTCGAGATCTATTAGGGAGGCCCTTCTATCAGCCCCACCACTGTCTCAAGCATGATTGGTGGGGATGAGAGAAAGGGTCTTCTCGATGGTGCCCCCCCCCCCCGGCTCTATAATGCCCTTCCTAGAGAGATTAGATTAGCCCCCACTCTCCAAGCCTTCTGGACTAGGTTAAAAACATGGCCTTTTATTATTAGTATGGTTTCCAAATATTGGACAGAATCCTGTTGGGCCATGGCATCTTCGTAAATGGACTTATATCTGCAGAAATTAGAATTGTACAATTGTGTAATGTCTGTATCCAGTAGAAGGCTGCTATTATGTTACTATATAACAAAATCAACAAGAGTGCCCAAAGTACATTGGGAAAATTAATAGTTGCCATATCCCCATATTATTTTATATCTGACAAAAACCAACTGAGGGTCGAAGCGGGATCTTTCCTTTTTATCTATTTCATATGCTTTTACCTATTTCATATGCTTTCGATGTGCCCCAATTCCACTTATTTTCCATCTAGTGACTGGGTTTTCCAACTGATGGGAAAGAGGACAATGCATCACACTGAAATGATATCTAGCTATTGGTACATGCATAAGAATGTCAAACGTACCCCACGAATTTTGGCTAGAGCTTCAATTGTATTCTTTATGGTGTCAGTGGGGATAACTTTGGTGTTATCGGAATGCAAGTATTCATTCACGGTGTCCAGTTTTATATGTACAGAGATTTCCAGTTCTTTGATGCAATGCATCTTGCCTTCTCTTCTAATATACAGGAGTCGCACTCCATTTTTTCCATATTCAGAATTCACATATTCCACATCCAGGCACTGTAAAGAAAAAGAAACATGCTCAGTTTTACTTGAAATAAGTCAGAGTTATCATAGAGAGAAAACTGAATGAGAATGTACAACTCCTTAAATCTGCATCCACCTGTGATTCAAATCTACTTGTCATATTACCAAGGATATTCAAGCCAATGTCCTTTTAATGACACGTGCAAGCCAGTCCCAATTTACACTTGCATATGTGTGGTGAAGAGTCCTTGTGGTGCTTGGTGTACTCTTCCTCCCACTACAACAAACAAAAGTACTCCAGGCTATATTTATTCTCTACAGTAGCCACCCCAACAACAATTTCGTTGGTCATGGAGAGGAGACGGGATTGGAAAAGCCAGATACAGGCTGGTAGCATCATCCAGTGAGATGGCTGGGGTTTACCGGTGAATCTTAGTAGAAGATATCCTCATCTGGCAATCCCCCCCCCCCCCACACACACACACACACAACAATATGGTGAAATGAAAATCACACATAGTTCATCCTGTTACCAGTCCACACACTGTCTTGCCAGAGAAAAGATATGCCACACAGATGATTAGTAAAGAACAGAAAGTTTACTCTTTTAAATGCAGAGCAGTGTGTGAACAGTTGTATTGATTCACACAGTGTCCTTTGAGAAAGATTCAAATGGTCTTTAGGTGTCCATGTGGAAGACCTTCTTCCAGCAGCCCAGAAGCAAAATCTTCTGTCTCTCTGTAAGCTCCTGTACAGCGAACAGCCTAAATATGTAACTGTTGCTAAATCTCCCAGGCTCAGCTAGCCTGTCAGGCATGGCCCAGCCAGTCATCTTCATGCATTGCATTTTCAGTTAACACACTCACCAACTGATTTTTACATGCTCTGACATACAATATCTCCCCCTTTCTGAATTATGTGATAGCCCTCAAGGACTCCTCCAGGGGAATCATGCTTTTACACTACATGCAATCACGAACGATGTTGGCCACTGAGTCCCAAAACAGACCTCCCAGAATGCATAGCATAGAACTGCATAGGACCCTGTACTTTTCTAACTCCAAGAAAATCCACAGACATCTATATCAAATTATTACATATGCAGCCTGGGTTAAGGCACCATAAGAAGCCTGCTTAGCCAGTCTTCATAAATCTTACGAGAAACATATGAAATCTGAAGGCCTGAAGCTGAATCTGGCTATCTTGGAGTTTCAAACTGACCCTTGAGGCTTCATTAGATGTCTCATTCTTTCCCATGGCACAATTGTTGAGTAATTTCCAGTTTCTATATATTCCCCACAACACAGACACATATTCTAAAAGGTTGAGCTATCTCTCTTAAGACTTAACTACTGTCCACAACAGCCTTACGCTGTAACATGGTGCTGTATCGATCCACCTTTGCCTTTAGTCCCTGCCAACACAAGAAAACAGTCCCCAACTCCTCTAAAATAGAATGTTCAACACCCTTGCTCTACAAACGCATTATTTCAACAGTAATACACCAGTTGCATGCCCATTCCCTACATCATGACCTCAACTGGGGTGAAATGAAGAATTGGGGTGAAATGACCACAACTGGGGTGAAATGAAGAAGCCTGCTCTATCTAAGTAGGTGCCCTGAATAACTTAAACCTAGGTACTTGGTACATAAAGCAGGCTACTCATTTCAGAAATCCTGCATGGATAAGGCTGTACTGGTGAAAATACATTGATAGTGCAATTGTGGGACACTGCTCTCTATTTTAACATATTTACCACAATACATAGCTTTGATGTCACTTTTACTGCCATGACCGTATTTTATGGAGTCCTAGGGTTTATTGTTTCATGAAGTACTACAGCTTTTTGGCAAAAAATTCTAAATATCCCTAGGAAGATATTCAGATTCTATAGGATGGCACTATAGCAATTAATGTGGTCTTAACGTTCTATAACTGTGGTATGAAAGCGACTTAAGTGACTTGAATCACATCTTCTTACTTAGGAAGCCATGGTCTACATTGTTAACAGCACACTACAAACAGTGTTCTTGCTGAGAAAACCCGAAGCTCCATACAGGTGAAAATAACATAAATATTGCTAAGTGCATTCTCCTCAAGGATTTGGAGCAACTCTTAACATAGTTGGAATAATATTCCTTTATCAGTTTGCGTGGTGCATTGTAAACATGTGTTGCACTCCAGACCAAGAAAAGCCCTCTGACTTTAAGCACCACATAGTTGAGTAGAAATGCAATCCATTTAGTGAAGATAATGAAAAAGCAGTAATAGTAAAATGCACTTTAAAGGAATAGGTAAATCCAATTAGGTAGGAAGATAAGCTGGAACAAATAGTACAGGAAATTAGTCCATCAAAGTTAATGAAAAACAAAGGCAGAAATTCTATAGTAAAATCCAAGAATTGAAAACATGAATCAAAGGCACTTAACACATGAATCTTTCCAAAGCAAAGCTTCCAAGGAACAGGAACCAGGTCTTGACTTGATTCCAAACAATGCTTCATCTGACTACAGATCCTGTACTTGGGACTTTTATCTCCTCATTATGCAATGTCCCAAGCGGCCAGAAATGAGTTTCATTTTAGCCTTGGATCCCTTATCATTCTTTCTTTGAACCTGGCAGAATGCCTAAGAGACTGGTGTCCTTTTCTATTTTTACTAATAACATCCTGTATATCTATTTGCTCATTAATTTCTGCAGCTGGGCTAGGTGCTGAGCTATTCTCAGGTTCTAAACTATGGGTATTCCCTGGTAGTAATTCAGGGAGCACACCATCATCCCCACACCAGGGACATTCTCATGAGAAAATACACTTTGAACATTCTCTGCATCAATATCATTGGAAACACCATTACCCACATGAACCTCATGGTCATCATTCCCCACATTCAAAGCACCCTGATCCTTAAACACAATCACAGGCAACTCCAACAACATGAATCTCATTTCTTAAATCTATTGATTACTTTTTGGTTGCCATGTTCAAAGGTAATCAAAGGTAAATAAGTGTTGACCGTTCTTAATATGCATGTTAGTTACACAAAAGCAAATGCCCCCTAATTTGGTTTGGTACAGCTGGCATTGCTCTCATATCCCTAAATTATTGTTCTTTTAATATAATTTGTTGATGAGATGAAATAGAACATCCTCAAACTGGACAAGTCCTTTCTTTGCAACAGCTCTTTTAAAACTTTTCCATAATTCATACCTTTGGATGCCACTGGCAAAGGGAATTATGCAAATATTTTAATGAAAGTTCTGTTTTGGTTTTCCAGTAAATAGTAAATTCTTCAGTTAAGGGGTTTTCCCCTACAAACCTTCCTGTTCTGAAGACCTGAATCAATTTGCTCATAATCTCAGAAAATTAATTAAACTATGCAAATCTAGTGCAGTTTCCCCTAACCTGATGTCCTCCAGATATGTTGGGCTATAGCTCCCATTGCCATAAGACACAAGAATTGTGATGGTGGGAAGTGTAGTTAACATGTCTTGGTGTCAGGTTGAGAAAGAATAAATTATAGATTATCCATTCTGAGCTTCCAGGATAGGATTAAAAATCAAATAAATAAATTTAATGGGGAAAAAGCTGCCTGCCATCTTTATGAATTTTCTTTTCCGTCAAAATACATTTGGCCTCTTGGACATCTTTTGCTGATGCATTTAGTCCTATTTTAAAAACACTTCCACGTTGTTAAATCAAATCAGTATGTTATTTGAAAAGGAGATGCAGCTTACTTAGAACATCTTAATATCAAAATCTGCTATATCCAGTAATTCTCCTTTGATCTTTAAAAACGTTGCATGCATCAAGAATATGAGGAACAACTAGAGCACACTTCTCTTTCACCATAAGAAGTCTATCTTGAGGTTGAAAACAAATCTCTGTCTTGAATTTGTGACTCTGTAGGTTCAGAACACCACAAAATGTTTCTATTTACATATTGGTTGAGTAGACACTAAACCAGTGGTTCCCAATTTTTTTGACCAGGGATGACTTGACCAGGGACCACTCTGACCAGGGACCACTTTGACCATTCTCCAACATTAGTACCAAAAAGGTTACGAATCAGTTTTTGGTCAACCTTAGATTTGGTTTGGGGTGTTGATTTAGAAAATTTCAATGGATAGACCACATCAGCTCTAGTTTCTGATATAGAACATATGCCATGGTCAGCAAAGGAGTGGCAGGTGGTGAGAAAGGAGCGGGGGAAAAATAAAGAGGAAGGAGCCTCATGAACTAGATTTTTGTTCTCACGGCCCACTGGTTGTCCACGGCCCACAGGTTAAGAACCCCTGCACTTAACCTTTAAATCTTGTCCCATCTTTTATTTGAGGAAGCTAGTTGTGGGATGGCTCACACATACAAATGCATAATGTTTCTCATAATTTGATTATTTTAAAATGCTAACTGAAGACTTTAGCTGACTTGTTCTAAAAACATTGGGTTGAATCGAATTATGCAATTAGTCCAAGATCTCTGAAGTATGTTACATTCATTCCCTGAATGACTTCTGCACCAGTCTTTCATGGACCATCAACATCTTATTTCTTTAATAGATTTTTTTTAATGAAAGAATGTTGATCATGTTGCAAATAAGTTGAGATCCTTTGATTTAAATGCAACATAAGAATAAATGGAGAAGGGCCATCTCATAGAATGTGAATACATTTCAAACACCCCTATTTATTTCCTCATGACATTTTATAATGTTACATAACACGATATTTGTTCCTGGGTATACATGTCCTTTTCTAATTGGTTCTATAATTAAAAATATGGAAAAAGTTTATTAAACTGCAAAAACTTTGTTTTTGTGGGACAGCCTGCATCACATTTTGCTATAGTTTTTCAATGAATACCTCATAGAGTCTCTCTCTTTTTTTTTCAGATTATCTTTTAAATTTTATTTATAAATTTATCCCTCTTTTTACATCTTAGACAGAAGAGTATGTCATATTATATACAATCTAACAGTAAAAAAAAATCTTTAAGCGTATTTCTTATCATTTTTTTAAATTTTCCATTACAAC